TGATAACACCTGAAAGCTTATGCTGCTTAATAAAATTTGTTAGTCAAAAAAGATGCTACCAGATTCTGCCTCTTCACTGGCATCCAACCTTGGCAACTTTCAGACTTGTGAACGTTCAGCTCCCTGAATTCCTCAGCCAGCATACTGAAGTTGGTTGGACACCCCTGTTTTAGGGTATTAATTCCACATTTAGCATATCAGGGATCTTTTGAAGATATTCCTGTTTTTCCGTGTCTTTTTTAATCTTCAGCGTCTTTAAGATGTTATTATAATACTGCTTCTTGTCTGTTCTAGCAGCTAGCAGAAATTTCTAGGAGAAAAGCATTACTGCTTTAAAAATTCATAGTTTATGAAGTAGAGTTCATAAAGCCAGCCTGAAGTTTACATTGTCATGTTCACCCTTCACAAACCTGTGTACAAACAAGATACATAACTATGTACTGTAAAGCATTGTTCAATATCGCTTATACTAGAATTCATAATTTTAAATAAGGATTAGAATTTTTACCTTGTGTTTTTTGAATGATAGATGTGGAGATTGTAACAGGAATGGGGAAAAAATGTATCGCAACTTTTTGATATTTTTTTTATCTCTTTTTCAGTTCTCTTCTACTGCTTTGTCTGATAGGTCTATATAAAGACAAATAGAAGGAAATTAAAATTTTAATTCAATACTCCTGCATTGCTTAACTATGCAAAATGGCAAAACCCAGAAGAGATATTGAGAAGTAATCTCACAGTGTACCTGGGTCCTTTGCTTAACCGCAGAACTAAATATTTTAGATATTTGGATTAAAAAATATTAACTAGAAGTTAGAACAATTTTATAAGTTATAAAATTAGTTAATATTGGAAATTTTAATCAAGATGCTTCTGTTAATAAATTTATGAACTATTATTAAAATATGGCATTTATGTTTGTAGATTAACAGGCACTACAGTGTCTCCTAGTGACAACAAAGCAAAATACCAGCAGATACATTTTTGTGACATGAATTTTGAAGAAGTGGAACTATAAACATATAGCTTTAAAATAAAAAACAAATGCAAACCAGAATAATTTTTGATAAATAAAAATTTCTCTGCTAATGTTATCTCACTAAATTCTCAGTGATTATATGGCTAGTTTGTTCCTAAATATAATTCAGTTGAACCCTACAAAATACATCAGAGAAAAAGTCCAAGAGTTGTCATTAATTCAGGGATGGGCAACCTTGTGGTAGCCACAATGGCCATTCTATGCCTTGCATAGAATGTACTATGTACTTCCAGATATCATTCCCAAATTTTTATAGCCAAGGTTTCTTTTTATTTCCTTCCTTTCTAAAGGTACAGAGTACAAAATCTCCATAAGGCTGAACACATCTGTTTTGTATAATTAAACAGGATTTTTTTTACTCTTAATCTCCTGGCTATATCATTGGTTTAGCAAACAATCTCTGCAAGATAAATATTTTCCTTCATTAAGCGGGTGGCTGTGCAACCTGAATATATAAGTAGCTGAATTAAAGGAGAAAGAATTGGGAAATATACAGTATACCAAAGGAATTGTGCAGTAGATGTTTTGTGCTAGGGCAGGCATAAATTAGATATACTGTAGTTCTTTGCTGATTAAGTCTTAAGACCAAATCAGGGCTTTTGGTATTCATGTTGCTTGTTTACTGCAAGGATATATAAATTGACATTGCACAGATATACGTGATCAGACCCTACAGCCATTGTAAAATTTCCACTCGTTATATTACACTTTTCACTTTTTCTTGTTTTTATTTCTCTATGTGGTTTACCTTGTTAGAGAAGGCCACTTCCTTATTATCTGATTTCAAACTGTTAAAAATATTACACTATTATTTTTATAACTGGAGCCTTGAAAGCATTTGTACATGAGTAGCTACAAAACAGAATCAACAGATTACACTAGCAAGTACTGTATATAGGTGATGCTATGTAATTAAATCAATTTTAATTCCATCTTTATGAATTTTAATATACATTGGATTTTCCCCATTCATTCTATATTTTTCTATGCTTAAGTTTAGTCCTAGAACACAAATGCACATGGCAACAGCAAAAGTATGTCTTGCAGCTTCAGAAGAAGATTAAGAATATTCACATAATACAGGGGTGTCAAACTCAATTTCATTGAGGGCCGCATGAGCATTGTGGTTGCCCTCAGGGGGCCAGGTGGGTGCGGCCTACTGGGTGGGCGTGGATGGAGTGGGTGTGGCTACTGGGTGGGCATGCCCAGCTCTACATCGTTCACGTCAAGGGTGCCTGTGGGGGCCTGGGCAGGAGTGGGACAGATCTGAGGGTCTCTGGCAGAAGGGGGTGGGACTGGGGCAAGCGCCAAGGCATGGTCCATTTCTTCATTCCTCACAAAGGGTGATACCTCCCCAGCATGCACCCAGGGGGCAGGGCCGACACAGCAGGAGCTGGTTCCTCGCTGTTTCTAGATGGCCTTGTGGAGCTAAGATTGAATGCGTTTCAGCATAGATGGCTACCACAAAATTGTACATTGGCTCTCAGCCGGCCTGAGCCAGGGCCAAGGCAACAGGGGCCGTTCCCTCACTGTTTCCAGGATGGCTTCGTGGGCCACATGAAACCACTTCGGGGGCCGCATCCGGCCCCCAGGCCTTGTGTTTGACATGTCTGACATAATAGAACATAATATTCTTAGAACAAATAGAACATAATACAGCATAATATGCTTAGAACAGTAAGAACATCATCAGTATCTAAGTTTAAATATGCTTGGGATAAACATGTCCCTCAGCCAACAAAAAATAAAAATTAAATAAAAATGAATAAAATAAAAAAATTAAAAATAAATAAATAAATAAAAATAAATAAAAAAACTAAACTCAAAGGGCAGACTCAATGGACTTAGGTCTTTTCCTGCCGTCAATTTTCTATGTTTCTAAGAATATTAAAATGTCAGAAAATGCATTTGTATCAAGGCAGCAGTTTTATATCTATATAGGAATATTTACAACTGAGGCTAGAAACAAGTCAAATAATTTTGCTTGAGAAACTAACAATGTGGTTCTGCACTACAACTCTAGCCCTTTCTGATAGGAAAATATAATCTGGACACGAATTGTACCAACAGCTATTGATTAAATTATATTAACAGAGCACTATCATATAGGAAAGAATAACAGCAAGATGCTATTATACAAAAGCCTTGTTTATACTGAGTAAATAAGCAATAATGGGATATGAAAGAAATTTTAAGCTTGTAGCTTCAAATATGAAATTAACAGAGATTTTGGATTACTCTGGGACACAAATTTATTTATTCAAAAGCACGGACATAAACATTTTTTTCTAAAAGTAGAGAAGTCCTTACACCAATTATGTACCACCAATTTCTGGTTTTGCTGGCATTATCTACCAAGACTTTACCCCATGCCTATCACTTGTTGTTGTTGGGTTTTTTGCCAACAAAGGTTGATTGATTCTGCTATATATGTAATGCCTAGCCTGTATGCAGGCCAACCCTGTATTATCTGTCTATGTAGAAAATTTGTCCTGGCCTCTAACAAGATGAGTCATAAATTGTTTGGGGTGATCTTGTTTGCTGCTGGTTGCTAGGAGGGGTAATTCTTTACAAGCACAGGCATATGCGCACACATAGGCCACAAAAGCTTACGCCTTTGCTCTGTTGTTGATATGATTTTATAATTGTGAGGTATCATTTACCTTGCAGATCCTGGTAATAGTTGTTTTTAACTGTTGGGTTTTTAATCTTTGTATAGTATCCAGAGACACTGAGACAGGCAGGCATATAAATTTAAATAAATAAAATGTGGGGAGATGCTCTTTTCCTAAATCTAGCAAATTTTGTAATCTCTACCAGCACAAAGATCAGAATCAGGATCAGGTGCTTTTCTCTCTCCAAGAAGATCTCTTGATCTTAATCTATGCTGTAACATCCTGTCCTTGCAAGCCAAGCATGAAATAATCATTATAAGCACAATCTACAAGGAGATTTTATTTTAATGTTTTTTCTCATTGTAGCCAAAGTTGCCAGAGCATAGTTATGACCATAACCAGCACACTCTATTTGCAGTTTAGTATAGAGGTGATGCAGTCTCTAATAAAGGAAAGTATTTATAGCTCAGGGTTGAAATGAGGGGTCCTTGGTGCTCTCTGAGCTTGCTTGTTTTCTTGCAGGCATTTCATTACCCAAACAAGGTAACATTATCAGTGCTAGTAATGACTCCTGATGATGTTACCTAGTTTGGGTAATGAAATGTCTGCAAGAAAAGAAGCAAACTCAGAGACCATCAAGAACTCCTAGTTCAGTCTCTCTTTCCAAGTGTCATGGCAAGGACTTAGCCATACTGATAGGCAGCCTCACTTCAAAGTGAGACTATACCAGTGGTTCTCAACCTTTTTAATGCCGCGACCCCAACCGGTCATAAGTCGAGGACTAAACTGGTCGTAAGTCGAGGACTACCCAACCGGTCGTAAGTCGAGGACTTTCCCTGCCCAGGAGCGCCGCGCATGCGTGGTTCCGCCCCCTGTGCTGGCCGAGGCGTAGCTGGCAAGTGGCAGAGACGGAGCAGGCCGACCACCAGCTGGCCCAGCCCAAGGGAGGTAAGGCATCCACCGGAAAAGGGGGGGAAAAATGGCAGACAAAAAAAATGGCGGACAAAAAAATGGCGGACAGCCTTGCTTGGCGACCCCCGTGAAATGGTCGATCGACCCCAAATGGGGTTCCGACCCACAGGTTGAGAACCACTGGACTATACATTACAGAAGCTGTTGTTTAACTATCACATAACAATTAACTATTATCTATTTTTTCATTCAAATGAAATAGTTTTCTGTTTGTTAAAACTGCCTTCAAAATATTAATTATGAAAAATGACTAATTTAACCCATAATTTATTCTTGCTCTGAATATTTTTGATATGTTTCTCTCTTTTAGATAACCACCTCTATGTCTATACTGTTCTCCTTTTAGAAAATCACATTTTATTGTCTTTTTCTAGTCGTTTACTAACATGGAGGGATATTCAACATATTATTGTAAGGACTTCACGGGCTGGACATCTAATTGCCAGTGACTGGAAAACCAATGCAGCTGGTTACAAGGGTAAGTTGTCATTTCATAGTCAACATTTCAGGCCTTATTCAATAAAGTCCTTAGTATTTCTTTATTTCTAAATTTCCCTTTATATTTTCCCCTTTATTTCTAAGTCCAAGTGTTTTCCTACCAGGTATAATTCATGCAGCTTCTTTTTATTTACACTAATAAAGTAAATGAGGTCACAAGATCAAGAATTATGCTTCTTGTATATAGCTGTGTTTTAGGTAAAATAAGGAGTCCTCATTACAAAGAAAATATTATTCTTGAAAGTAAAATGGTTCTCAGCTATCTCTTATATGAGTTGATTGGAGCAATCTGTTATAAATATCATTCATAGCTAAATAATATAAATTTAAATAATATGCATTTCCTGACTTCTCAGAGTAGCATACTACAACGTGCACATTGATATTATGTGATAAAATTCACTATTAAATAAATTGTGTACTTAAATATATATATTGGGAATAATATTAACAAAAATATACATATTAAGGAATGCATATTTTTTTCTTTTGGACATTTGAATCTTATACATACGCATTGAATGAATGGTATTGATTTCAATTTAATATTTATAAGGAAAAGATTCATGACATACAGAGTATAAATGCCTACTTAGATCATAACAACAAATTCTATGCCATAATTTTCAGTTGGAGGTTTAATTTTTTTTATCTTTTATGTTGTTCTTATCTATTATAAAATTTATTATATTTTGTGTGAAAATATAAATTGAAAAATGATTCATATTGTATGTTAATCAATGTTTTATTATTTAATTATTAAATTTATATTCCACCTTTTCTCAAGGAGTGTACTAGCTATCAATATTTCTTACCGCACTGTCAAAATAACAACAGTATATGCTGGGTATTATTCTAAATGCTACAATAATTGCAGAAAATATTGTTAAAATAATTGAATGCTAGTTTATTATTTATGCAGCTTAATTTATTTGCTACTTTTCTCTGAGAGCATTTTACATTTCTGTTTTATGTGTTCAACTTATGGAAATCAAATAGTACATGAGATAGTAGGAAAAATTGATAAATATCACTGGGGTATGGTTAAGAAATATTATTGTTCCATATTGCTTGGAATGTTATCCATTGTATGAATATAGCAAAACACCTAGGAGGTATGTCCATTACATTAATATTTAGAAAACATTATCTTATTTTCTGTCATGATTATAGTTATTCATAAAATCTATCCCACTGCATTTTGTACCAGTTGCAGGTTAGTATTCCATATAGTGCAATATATGTATGTAGTTATTCACTACCTCATACTAAATTATAAAAAGAAGAAAGGAACAAAATTATCCCTATTCACAATGGAACTGAAGCATCAACTTTAACCTAATTAAAATGAATAGTTTTAAGTCAATTATTTTGGCAGTGTAAGCTGAGCAAATGGTTTCAATAAAACTATAACTCCCTTTCAACCTCTTGTTAGTTTTGGATGAAGCAAAAGCAAATGATTTAGATTAAATAGCAACCTCCAATGTTTAATTTGATGTGGAGAGTATATACGTGAGCACTGTATATTGCTTCTGGCAAAAATGGAACTGTATTTTACTATTGCACGTGGCACTATTTAGTGTAATATTTCACTATTGTCCCCAGCTGCAGCCAAAAATAATAATTAAAAACCTGTTTTTCATAGAATGAATTACACTGATCAGACTGAATCCCTTTGCAAATGTACTATAATTCTTTTTTTTTTTTTTTGGGCTGGAACATATTTCTTCAATGACAGTATCATAATAAGGTGTATGAGGAAAACAAGCCAAGCAGTTTTCTAAAGCTAGCCTTGGCTGCAATCTTATCCTACACACATTTAGCCATTTACTGGCTAAAGCTATAATGTTATCCTACACAGTTTTATCAAATAAACTGCACTATTCAAAAACAGCATGGAGAACAGTGAGATTCATTTATTTTTCCTCCACAAGATATAAATAAACAGCCGAATGGTAGGGTTGTGAGGATATTACTTTAGAAATAAAAAATCATAGAGGAGAAAATAGGCAAATGTTTATAAATTTCTTGCTCAAACATTACTGAAAACTGGTACTCGAATGTGGGTTAGCGTGTTGTTTCCTTGAACTGCTTGACTTGCTTGTTTGGCAATCCCAGGTTTAAGGACTTTCATTACTGTGGAGTTTAAATCATCAGGGTTGTTGTTTTTTAAAAAATAGAAATGTAGTCATTGATCCCCAGAGGGATGTTAAAATAAATTGGTTAGAATAGTGAAGTTTTTTGGCCTAGACTTACCCACAGATTTGAAGAATGGACATTAAATGTAATTACCTGGCAAACTATGTTTGTTTAATAGCTTTTAACTAAATGTATGCCAGGTTGCTCAAAGTCAAGCTGATTTGAAAAACCTTTGTTCCTGCTTATCTACTGATTGGCTATCCAGCATGGGAAAAGATAATTACTGCTGAAACTTTCATAGGTAAATGAAACAATTTAAGGGAATGAATGAATGAATGAATGAATGAATGAATGAATGAATGAATGAATGAATGGATGGATGAATGGATGAATGGATGAATGAAAGAAAACTGAATCTTCCAGACTTCAGGTTCCATATCTTTATTAGAACCAATGGGTTCTTATTCTCATTGAGTACTTACCTGTAACATACACTGTAGTTTGTAATATTTAATATAAAATATAGAAATTTGTATTCATATACCAATTCTAATAATACATTATTTATGAAGAACTATTCTTCTAGAATATTCTTTATCAGTTCACTGCAATATTTGGTAGGAGGAGGAGGAGGAGGAGGATACTCTGTGCCATAATCATTGAAAGACATTTACAGAAGAAAAGGAACCTGAAAAGAATCTTAAGAGCAAGCAGGAAGTTCTTCCAATCTCAAAGTGATGACAGTAGTGACAGATCTGTTTTATAAAAATCAAGTATAAAAAGTGGTAAAACAATTGGATCCAAACAGGGGTGCCTTAATTTACAATCGCAACAACTTTTAATCAAAATTCCAATCCCAGTTGTGATCTTAAGTTGAGGATTACTTGTATATAAATAGGGAGAAAACCTTATACTCAGTAGCACCAAAGATGTCACCTAAGCAGGTAATGAAATATATGTAAGCCAGGGGTGGCAAGCCTAATCGCAATGCAGGCCATATGGTGACGTATCGGGAGTTTTTGGCCTTTGAGGCGCTGGAGTGGGTGTGGCCTGCATAAGGCTGAATGCGGCCTGTGGGCCGCCAGTTTGACATTCCTGATGTAAACCAATAACTAACTCAAAGAGCACCAAGAATCCCGCCCAAAACTGTTTCAGATCACCATATATTCCATTATTTTTGGAAATCAACAACTTTTAACTTGTTTTCTTTTTTAGTAGAATTCACATGGGAAGTAATACATGTCAATTAGTAAATAAATATATGCAGGAGTTTGAGGATAATTACTTCAAAAAAAATTAAAAGAGAAAATGGTATATTTTTTAAAAAAAATCATGACAGAATTGGATAGTACTTTACCAGTAATGATTCCCTTTAATGAGGCAAACTTTGCTGGGATTCACGTGAAAAGATTAATAATTTTTGTGTATATTATTCATGTGCAAGAACAGCTTTTTCAGTCTAGGACACAGGCATTTCCAAAAACAGTATGCCGCAGAGTTATGTTTTTCAGGCAGAAAAATGGCAATTACAATCTTAAGTATTGTTTATAAGTCATTTCTAAGACATGGCATAATATCTTCATGAGGTCCTAGACTTGGTTAATATCAGTTGAAATAACCCTCACAGTTTTAATTTACACATACGTAAAAGGATAACTTTACAGTGTGAGATTGAATGGATGATTTTTTCCCTTCATGATGCAAAGGATCAGTTAGTTTTAGTAACTCTGTAATGTTTTCTCAAAATTGTTATTATTTACTCTGTGAAAATGATGGGCTTGTCTTGATTCTTGCAGCTGCTTGGCCCACAATCCATTTGATCAGAAACTTGAAAGTACAAAGCATTTCAGACAGCCATCCATCAGCTGTCTGGAACATTTCCATATGGAAACCTTAATAACTGCTCAACGTGATACTTCTTGAATTGAATTAAGGAGGGATTATATTTAAATGTATACATGTGTGCATTTTTTTAAATGGCAGGATACATCTGATTCCTACTCATTATTCATCACCAAAACCAGTTTGAAACATTAAGAGTACTGTCATTCATGGCAAATTAAACTAGACATTATAATATTGAGTGATAATCTTTTCTCAAGAATGAAAAAATGAAATTTTAAAAAAGTGACCATATGAATAGATTTTGGCTATTTTTTGGAGTAATACAAAGATCTTGCTTTTTAAAAAATAATGCGTATTTCTCCAAATAATCCATCAAATTTACAGATATCAGTCCTTAAAGTACTGGCAATTTATTTCCGTAACATGGAGAGCAGTCAGTTCTATTCTTAAAACTTACAGTGTAAATTGTTAATAGAGTATTCCTTTAAGCCCATAATTTACCCTGCTTTGGATACAACACTTTAGTCTGCATTATATTTGTATATCATTGATTAATAATGGTTTTCAAAGACATAACTCGTATCTCTTATTTAATGCCTTGACAAACTATTAGCTGGATTTGCTAAATTATGTGTCATTGGATAAAGCCAACAAGACAAAGCTCAGGGCTGTGGGGAATTATAAATTTAACCAACAAAACTCAAGATGTATTTGTTAAAGCATGGGATACATTAAAACATATATGCATTGCTTCCAAGAATTATTTCCCAGCACCTTTTTTCATTCTTCATTTATCTCATTTCCTATAGCTTTCTCCATATTCCACTAAACTGATACTGATGTCTTTCACTATCTTTGTCCAGATTGCAAAATCACATGGAGAAAAAGAAACTGATCATATATGTAGACATCAAGCCCAAAACCTACATTAATAATTAATATTATCAGACCAATTATTGCAGCTCTAACTGGCAGTTTAAGAAGATGGGATACATGTGATATGAAACAATGTATTTTTGAGGAAAAGGAATTAAATGGAGTATAGAAGTTTGTGTTGTATGAAAATGAAAATAACTACTTTGAGAATATAATAATATTTTATGCTTTGTAGTTAGCCACTTATATGGATTTGGATTGATGGATGCTGAAGCTATGGTGGTAGAAGCAGAAAAGTGGACAACAGTCCCTCCACAGCATGTCTGTGTTGAGAACACAGATCGACAAATCAAGTAATATTTATTAAAGATATTGATCAAAATATTTACCCAGACTGTGAATGGTGGCTAAATTTTTTTAACATTAATGTTTTTATAAGCTAGTTGTTAAACAGGATCTTCTTCTTTACTCTTTTGTTGAAAAAAAAGCCTAATGCAAATTATGCTCAATAAGAGTTTGTGCATGCTGTTTGTGCATGCTCCATGCATGCTCAGTCTATGCATATTCAGACAATATAAGGGAGCCTTTGAATTATCTGTGCCCACCTTTCAAGGGGATAATAGGTTCAGGACCTTCAGTAGATTCACCAAGCACCTCTCCAAATAGCTCTCACAGTTATGCACAAAAAGAGAGAGGAAAAAAATACGTATGACCACAATTGAGCCCAAAATTTTCATTGCTAAGCAAGGCAGTTGTCAAGTGAGTTGTGCAAACTTTTTGCATTTTGCAAAACTTTTTTTGCCACAGTTTTTAAGTGAATCACTGAATTTTTTTAAGTGAATCATGCCGTTGTTAAACAAATTTAGCTTTCCCCAATTGACTTTTCTTGTCGTAAGCCAGCTGGGAAGGTTACAAACGGTGATCACATGATCCTGGGTTAGCGCAACAATTGTAAATACATGCCAGTTGCCAAGCAATCAAATTTTGGTCATGTGACCCCGAGGACGCCGCAACAGTTGTAAGCATAAAAATTGCTTTGTAAGCATTGTAAGCATTTTTCATTGCCATTATAACTTCAAATAGACACTAAATGAATGGTTGTAGGTTGAGGACTAGTTGTATTTCAGAGATGTTTTAGATATGATAAATAATTACCATATTCGCTAGATATTTAATTTGGCTTGTATTTTTCAAACAGAACAATACGACCAGATAATATTCGTAATGGACCAGATAATGGCGTTCGTTCAATATACAAAGCTACAGGATGTGCAGACAATGCCAATCACCATGTAATATATCTGGAACATGTGGTGGTACGAATCACTATCACCCATCCTCGGAGAGGTGATCTAGCAATTTATTTAACTTCTCCTTCTGGAACAAGATCTCAGCTATTGGCTAACAGGTACTTAACCTTTACTTTTATGGAAGTTCACTTTCCAAATTGTGTGCACTTAAAAAAATGTAGGAACTTTTTAAAAAGGTAAATTGAGGAACCACTCTGAGAAAATGAACACATCAAGTGGAAATCTCAAATTTTGTCATGAACATTAGCAGAGGCAAGAATAACTGTAGAGTAATCTTCTGCAATAGTTTTTGTCAGATACTGGGAATGATAATTGCAAATTACAGAAGAGTAGAATAAGAACAGTACTTCAAGAAAACAGTTGAAGGAAGAAATAAATCTTAATGCAGGGGTGTCAAACTGCTGGACCGCAGGCCGGTTACATCATATGGAGGCCACGCCCACCCCAGCTCCAGCAATGCAAAAAAAGTCACGATATGTCACGACACGTCACATGACGTGGCGAGTTTGACACACGTGTCTTAATGAATCTTATCACTGTTCTTTCTAAAATATAGTCTGGCCTGTCTGTATGTAATCCTGACATGACTCTGAATTGCATTTGTGATACTTTTTGTCTTGATGCTCACAAAAGGATATTTCATTCTGGAGTATATTCTGGTCATAACAGGACTGAAAAGAATATAATCATACTAGTTGATCCCTGAACATGTTATATCTTGAAAGTATACCTGGAATATAGCCCTATGTATTTAATCTAATTACTATCAGGTATTTAATCTAATTACTATCAGGTTCAAGAATTATGTTAAGCAATTTTGGTTGTTATTAGAAAGATACAGAAGACTTTCTCTTATCTATTTCTTTATTTAAATGCTCTTTAGATTAAAACTGGGCTATTATGTAAGTAGAAAATACTTCCAATTGAGCAAAGTGACTCTCCTCTTTTTTGTTTATTGATTCTTTCCTCCTCCTGAATCCCTCTATGGAAGATGCTATTCTAGAGAGTCCCCAAATAGATACAAGAGTACTTTGGACTGTCCCAAGTTTGGAACTGAATGGTTTGCCAACATATCTCTTTCTAAAGCATCCAGATTGCTTCATTATCAGCAGAATATCAAATGTTCGGTATTTTGAGAACATAATTATGGTTTGACTTAACCTTTACCTGTAGCATTTACAAGCAACAGTTGACTAGAGATAAATTGTTAATTCAATGGATAATGTTGTTTTCATGTTTTATAAAAAATAAATATAAAAAATAGTGTTCTTTGTAGGTATTTGCTAAATTGGTTGTCACTTGCTGGTTCCTTCATATTATTTGTAAAAGTGACGGTTATACTAAATGTTGTGCAACATTGTGATGCCATTATAAAAGAGTGGAGGCTCTGCCATGATGACACCAGTCAATTTCTAGTGACTGCATTTTCTTGGCAGTGCTATGGAAATGAATTAACATTATCTTTTTCCATTTCCCAATCTCACCAGTAAGCCTGAAATTCCCAAGAGCTCACTTCTTTAAATACTATTAAAGCCTGACCTGTCTTAAGCTTGAAATAAACGATATGGTCCTATCTGTTCAGTCTAATACTCTAGAGATATGGTCCAAAACGTCTGACCAGGCATGGTCCAAATCTTCCATAAAATTTCTTATGGCATATCCCTTTAATGTAAGAATTATAGATAGATTCCTCATGCTTTGTGTATCTTCTAAAAGCTTACTATGATGATTTGACTTGTATTTCATGCTCACTAGAACTCATACGAAGAGTAGCTGTACAAAAATATTTAACTCAAGGCTCTGAAAATTTGTCTCCATGATCATTTGTATATTGACTTATCAGTTCAGAAAAAACTGAAACACTTAAACAAAGAGTGTTTCACTTGACCCATATTTACTGCAGTTATTAGACATAGAAGAGGATATGATTCTGATTAATAATTTGGCAATAATAGCTAAGAGTTAAAGTTCACTTTCTTATTTCAAAAATTATGACACAGGTAGGTTAGATATATTAAAATAAAATCATGTCAGACCATCTGAATAATGTCACTTATAGTTCACAAATTTCTAAACTTTTTAAATGTTTGTGCTTTATTATTTTAGATTTAATAACAATAGTTGTATAATTTGATGATTTATATGAGCATTTATCCTCATAAAAGTAGGGTCATAGCTAGTGGTTCCAAAATTCAGCATTAGTTCCAGAAGCCTTATGAAGAATCCCTATATTCTTTCTTTGAAGATATTGGAACCTGACACAAACCCATATAGATTATAATCAATTACACCAAATGCAATTTTTAATGAATATATTTTCATGTTGTATTTATACATACTTCTTCTTTCGGAACCATGACACATACATTGCTGTGGTTTTCTTTAAAAGGTTATTTGACCATTCTATGGAAGGTTTTAAAAACTGGGAGTTCATGACAACTCACTGCTGGGGTGAAAAAGCAACTGGTGACTGGATTTTAGAAATCTACGATACTCCATCTCAACTAAGAAATGTAAAGACTCCAGGTATGAACACATTATTCTGCTGGTTACTTACGTTACCTTTTATATATTTAATATAGTGTAGTTGAGTTGATTTATAAAGATAAAATATTGTTTAGACTCAAAAAGTGAAAAGTCTTTTGCTATATATCAGGGGTGTCAAACTCACAATGTCACGTGATGTGTCGTGACGTATCGTGACTTTTTTGACATTGCCTCAGGGGTGGGCGTGATTTCGCTATGATGCATCTGGCACATGGGCTGGCAGTTTGACACCCCTGCTATATATCAAAGTCTCCCAGCATCAATAGCTAGGGAACCCTGATATTAATCATCAAATGGCTTTTGCAAACTTAGCCATGACATCTGCTGGGAAGATTGGGTGATAATTCCAGCTGTGGAGATGACAGGGGAAGTATTAACCTCCAATTTTGACACCATAAAGTGTTTTTTCAAATGTTGTCTACCACAGAGATTTAACTCACAACACTTCAACTAGAGCAGATGTGTCAAACTAGTGGCCCGTGGGCCAAATGCGTCACGCGCAGGCCACGCCCACCCCGGCTCCACAAAGGCAAAAAACATCATGATAAGTCATATGATGCAATCGAGTTTGACACCTGTGAAATAGAAGATTCTGAGTCCCTTATAAAGCAGCTCCATATTTCTATGCTTCTATGATATAATAATGTTAGATAACTCAGCTGATTAGTTCAGCTGTAGTATAATTGAAATCACTGTGCCCCACCTTCTAGAACAGAGGTGTCAAACTGCAGGCCCACGGGCCAGTTTCATCATTGCCTGCAATGCAAAAAGAGTCACAATACGTCACGATACGTCAGGTGACGTGGCACGTTTGACACCCGTGTTCCAGAACCTTATGGCAAATGCAGGCTTTAGGGTTTTGAAACTCTTTCTCTCAATAGCTCAAAGAAAATGAGAAGAAGAATGATGGTAAGATTTTTTTTGTCAGCCCCTCTCTTCTCTTCAGCATCAGAGGAAGGTAATAAGAAAACCCTGGAGAAGTTTTGATTTTCCATCTCTTCCTTTTGGATGCTGTAGAGAAAAAGACTTTTGATGGCTGCAGGAGCTAAATAAATTTTGATTGGGCTGTAATTTTCACTTCTTGATCTCAGCATTTCACATTAGCAAAAGTGAAGACATCAAATTGTTTCTGAGGATTAGAAAGCAAAAAAAAATGGGGATGTGGGAATTCTCTTAGCCAGTGCTTTTTTTGTAAAAAAAAAAAAAAAAAAAAAAAAGGTGCCGGAACTCACACATGTCATACAACCTGCCTTGCCTATCCTACAAGGTTCCATCCAAAAAAAGGTGCCGGAACTCCGTTCTGGGCGTTCTATGAGAAAAAAAGCCCTGCTCTTAGTAGCCTTATGTATAAGTCAGCATTATCCTGTCAGTTGCTTATAATATACGCTATGCATGCAACCATATGCAGCACAATTCATTTATTCATCTAGAGTATTTATATAGCTTTGTATCTTTAATACAAGTACATGGGCAGCTTACAAACCACAAAATCACCATTGAAAACTCTGTGACAAACCCAGTGGTTTCATGTGATATTAAATAGGAATGGAATGCTTTAAACAATCACAAATTCCTTCTGAAATTGCTATAGGTCCATATTATTTGCCACTAGTATTTTTTAATTTAAAGAGAGATTGGTAGAACAAAAGGTTGTGCATTCAGGATTTGAAATATGTGGGAATGACCTTGGGAAACAAGAGGAAGAGACATAGACTAGACCAGGGGTAGTCAACCTTGGCTCTTTTATGACTCGTGGACTTCAACTCCTAGAATTCCTGAGCCAGCATGTCTGGCTCAGGAATTCTGGGAGTTGAAGTCCACGAGTCATAAAAGAGCCAAGGTTGCCTACCTCTGGACTAGACAATGGTCATGTAAAAGTTATCTCAATCTACAGAAGGAAAAAGGAGAATGTTCTCAAAAGGGGACTTCCCTACTTTTCTAGAAAGTAAAGTAAAGCAAGGGAGAATGGTTTTCAGACTTGCAAGTTTCTGTTATTGCAACCTTACAATAATGACAGTGCCAGTACTCATGGTTTATTCTTGTCCGTACTACCTGTTGTCTGCACTACCTCAAAGGGCTTACAGGATTGTACTGCTACAGCTGTTTTGTGCAGACGTAGGTTGCTGATATTAGTAGGAGTGAATATTTGGTTATCAACTATTTACTGATATTGTGCTATTGGTTGTAATATTGACTGGCTGCACAAGTATTCCTGGTGCTAAAAATATAGATAGAAATTTCTTTTTCTATTGCCCAAAATTACAGAGTAGTCACCAATAATTTTACTTTCTGAATCATCTCATTTGTGCTGCAAATGCTTTCAGTTAAATATTTTCTTTAAATGGTAGGGATCCAATTCACACATATACATTCATCATTTGTTCTGGTAGTGTTTTGCTGTTTGTTGAGCAGTTCATCATTTATAACTTATAACTGAGGAAATATGAAACTTTGCCTGTAGAATAATGTGTTTCAATCATGTGAATTCCCACACAACAATGCAGTGGCATCGTTGCATGAATGACTGTGCCTTTGGTACAATTTTCTCATATTTTATCATCTCTCACTCATTATACTAAAGAAAACTCTACCTGGAAATTATGATTAATAATCATTTGTGAAGGTAGAAAGATTGAGCAAAAGCAGCAATATAATTTAAATGTGTTGCATATTCTCATATACCACATTAAGGCCTGGAGAACCTTTGCTTATCTTGAAAATGCTAAGCAGATTGAATCTACTGTAATAAGTACTTGGATAGGAGATTGCCAGGGCTGAGTAAGCAAAACAAAAAACAAAACCGAAGAATAAAGCAGTAACAAACCATTCCTTATTATTGCCAAGAAAACTATATAAAGTGTCTATATAATCACCAGGAGTTGATATCAACTCAAGGAAACCTTGATCTTTTATATGCCTATCCTTCTTGTTCCATATATAAACAATAAAAATAATTTTAAATAAGCTATTTGAAAAAGTGTGATATTTTGTTAAAATGTTTTATTTATTACAGTATTTCAAAACTCATTTTCCTGCCTTCCTCCTAAATACTAAAATTGCAAATTCATATTGCATCATACAGATGCAAGAAAAGAAAATATAATATTTTGTAGTAATAAGTGTTTTAAGCATGTTCATGCACATTTATAAAACTCTCAGGGTCCCAAAGCAGAACTGGCCCCCAATGGTGAACGAATTGAAGCTCTTTAACCTGTGCAATCAGGTTAGTTATTAAAGTTGGGGAACAAGGAAGGGGTGGTAATGGGAATCTAGCTCGCCTGTGCTTATGGGCCCATAGTAACTGCCTCCCTTGCTTTCATTATATTTACAACAATATTAACCAGTCCATGCAGAATAATGAAACATTATAGCAGGGGTCTTCAAACTTGGCCCTTTTATGACTTGTGGACTTCAGGAATTTTGGGAGTTGAAGTCCACAAGTCATAAAAGGGCCAAGTTTGAAGACCCCTGCATTATAGGCTTAACGTCTAGAAAGATACAGAAAAGATGAAATGAGAGAAAAGAGATAAATAGCAAACATAGCTCTAGTGAATCCTTTGTGGGGAGAGCCAGATGATCCTGCCTCTTCCAGAACAGTTGATCCTGTTGCACTTCCTCACAGGGCAGTTCATCTCAATAGGTTCTATGAAGAGGGAGGAAGAGCTCCCCCCAATTGCAACAGTGAGTAGTAGAGTGTTTCTTCTCTTCTCTTCTTCACTGGGCAGTTCATCCCTCGTGTCCTGAGCCAGATAGTTTCCACAGCAACAGGTAAAGACGACAGTTCTTTGAAATATGCTACCATAAATATTGAAGAGAATACATTTCCTCATGGAATTTCATGTCTTCCCAATATGATTCATCTAGGTAAATTGAAAGAATGGTCCTTAGTACTTTATGGGACGTCCATCCAGCCTTATGCTCCAAGAAATGATTTTTTAAAAGGCGACCGAGTACGCATGAGTGCAATTGAAGACCCTACAGAAGATTATGGAGTAGATGACTATTCAGGTAACTTTAATGCTTATATTTAAAATAATATAACCATTAATACAGCAAGCTTTTTTTTCTTGCTGTTTATCCATTTCCTCAACCAAGCCAGAAAAGCAGTCTCTAGAAACTTTGAATTCTACTCAATATTTTTTCTTATAACTTACGTTCTTGTAGATATTTTGAATATTTGTACTTAATAGCTACTGTGAAGAATATTTTACAAACCACTTTATATTTTCTTCTTTTTCTTCAACTTTCTTGTACTTTGCTTTTTACTTTATCTTCTTTCTATTGGTTTGTGTTAGCTTTTACCTTATTCTTTAAACATTTTAATAAAAATCATATATATAATTCTATTCAGTATTTTCAGTTTTCAGTTTTTTTTAACTTTTAAAATCCAAGTTATCTGTTACGATATGAAGTAATTTCTTTAAGGCAATAAAAATACAAGGATTCTTTGGTCTTTTTTCAAAGGTCCATGCAATGCTGAATGCAGTAAGATTGGATGTGGTGGACCAGGGCCAGACCATTGCAATGACTGTCTACACTATTACTATAAATCTAAAAACAATACACGGTACGAAACAGTTATTACTTCTCGCACAATATGCATGCAATAAGCCAGTCTGAAACTAGTTGGAATTCCTATTTAGAAAGCTTTTTATTAGATCATACCAACATGGCTTCATTTTCAGTGTTATCTCATTTAGCATAGTATAAAACATTTTATATCAGCTGACTATAGGTAGTCCTCGTTTAGCGATCTTAATTGAAACTGGCAACCTGGTTGGGGAAGTGAAGCGGTTGCTAAGTGAATCAGTGACTGCGCTTTGGATTTCTTTGGCTTAACACCTGCAAAGTTGTAAATGTGAGAACGGATCCTAAAATCACTTTTGTGATTTTGCTATACTGTAAAGGGTTGCTAATGTTGGACTGTCCATACAGGGGTTAAATGAATGTTATTGTAGAGGAATTTAGAGCTGACCTTTGGGGAAAGTATGAAAAAGCATTCAGGGAAGAACTTGGACAAGAGATTATATAGTCCAGACATGAGAAAGAAATTCAAAATAACCCCACCTTGATTTTGTTTAAAATAAGATAGAACAGAAAGAAACTTGGAGAAACTTTCAAGAGTGATGTCACCTTTTGAGGTAGGCCCAGTCAAGAAAGAAATATGCAGGGTTTCTAGGAATGCTGCTTTGTTGTTGTAGGGAATAACAGCAGAATTTTGAAAGCCTGTCTAAATAACACATTAACATCGCTATCCGTTATATGAAAATACATGTATTACAATCTTAATGCCATATGTACATGCATACACACATCCTTCATGCTATTCTCATTTCAGATAAGCAGTGTTATGGAGAGCACACAAAGGAAGGAAGAAATAGTAAGCCAAAGAAATTAAAAGCATGAGTTAAGACAGCATTCATTATATATCACCATAGCCCTCTGACTTTACAAATCTGGGCAGAATTCTGCAAATGGCATTCATAGACATACTTAATAAATTCCCTAGAGATTTTGCATTCAGTTTTTCTGCCTTTCCCTTTATGCAAGGAAATCATAATAACATTTTTCCAATTGTCAGACACAGATGTAGTCTTCACCCCCATATTAACACCACATTGTGTAGTGATTCCATAAGAAAATCACATATGTTAACAGTTACACCATCTACACAGCAGCTTTATTTTTTCTTAACATTCTTACTTATTTATTAGTTCATTTTTTATGTTTTTCTTGGACAGTAACATTTATAGCATTTGTTTTACTTCCACATTTCAACATATCACTTTCATTCCCATATAAATCTGTAAAATGTTCCTTCCAGCATTCCCTCTTAGTGTCATGCCAAATCATTTCATCACTTATTTTTAAATCTATTTGCTCAGTTGGAAGCTCCTTATTTACCACTTCCAAAGCATTTTATTGTTATCAAAATTATTCTGCATTTTATTTTTTTCCTTCGATTGTAATCATGCCTTTCTGTTTTTGGCTACATTCTTTGCAATATTTTTTTCTCTCCATATATTTATCTAAATTCTACTTTATGCCACTTAAAAAAAATAACTTGAACATTGGAATACAGAATGGGAAAGAGTTCAACAAGATTAGAAATACACACTTCAAACTTTGTCATGGAGGAGGTGCTTTTTGAATTGATTTGCTCCAATGATACATTTGCTAAAAGATTTGCATCTTAATTTTCTTAAATCATGCTAACCTAAAATGCAATTTTTTAAATCTTAAATATTGTGTATTTAGAGTTATATCCCTCTGTCCAGTTAAGATTGGAAGTGAATTGAGGTATTTTGTTTAGATAAAAAGAAGTGTTTGATTTATATTTGTATCTGACTCTAGTATCGGAAAACAATTGTTCTGCTTTTGTTATCCAAACAAAATTATTTGTTATCTGATTAATTCTGTCCAGCTCAATACCATATCTGTGTCTCTTATTATTTTTTTACAATAAAGAATCTGTGTTCCCAACTGTCCACCTGGTCACTATAGTGCAGACAAGAAACGTTGTAAAAAGTGCTCACCCAACTGTGAAACTTGTTTTGGAAGTCATAGTGATCAATGTAATACCTGTAAACCTGGTTACTTTATCAATGAAGAGACTAGAAGTTGTATTACCACCTGCCCAGAGGGCTTTTACCTGGATAACAGTAAGATTTGTTTTACATTATTCAATTGTTACAATATTCAAGGAATTATAAAATTAAATGCTTACATGCAGTACATTCAATATAGTGCTGTTCATTTCAGTTTGAACTCTGTAAAATTTTAATCAGAAATTTAGAATTATATATCAAACAACTCAAATCTGTTAAAAAAAAAAACCCATTTAAAACCACTAAAATAAAGCATAATAAAAATCAATTTGTTGCTTTGTGGATAGCCAGTTGATTGACTGGACAGCCTTGAAAATCAAATAAATAAATACATAAGCAAACAGATAAACTGTTATTCAAAGTTTGATGAAACAAAGAAGACTATACGGTTTTGAAATATTATGTCAAACGGGATAAGAACGCTCTCTATAGCAGATTGTTCTATATTTATGGGTAAGCAAGAAATAAACTTATCTCTTAACCAGAACACAGATGATTTTGCTTGTTGTGACATAGTAGAAAAATGGGATTTTAATTTCTAAGTAGTTTAGATAGTCTTTATGTAATAGTATTACAAGTTTCTGAAATGGAGACAAGGAGAAGTATGATATGGTATGGACATTTAGGTATGGTATGGCAAGGTTAAACAGTTCATTGAAGGTGCCAGCAGTGGACATATGTAAAAACAAGGCCAACAGCATATTAGGAATAGTAAGAAATTATTTCGAAAGTATAGATGGCAATACTGTACTAAAATACCCATATCTAAATCAATGGTGCAACTGCATCTGGAATATTGTGTGGAGTTCTGATTGACATACCTCAAAAAAAGATTTAGAGGAGCTAGAGAAGGTTCAGAAAGCAACTAATATGACCAAGTAGCTTCCTCAACGTTGCAATATTTGTGGCTTTTTAGAGCAGAAAGGAAGCAAATGAATGGGAACCTGATTGAGGAGTATAGCATTAGGCACATTGTGCATAAAATGGAAAAAGAGAAGTAGTTTCCCCTTCCCCAAACACTAGAAACAAAGATCATCCTATGAAATTCAATCGTGGAAGAATCAGGACAAAAGATTATTTTTTTTTACCCAACATGCAATTTTACTTTGGAATTTGTTGCTATGAGCTATGGTGCCATCTACAAGCTTGGCTGGCTTAAAAAAATAAAGTTGGGCCGATTATTGGAAATAATGGGGATCAATAGCTGTTAGCCTAGATAGCAGGCTGACTACCTCTGAAGGCCATCTGCTAGAAGGCTTCCAGGCTACCTTATCCAATTGGTTGGCCATAGTGAGAACAAATTGCTGAACTAGATGCTCCAGGAGTGCAATACTGCTGGACACTGTTTATGCCTGCAACATTCGAGTAATCTGATTCTAAGGATGATATACAAATTCAAACTGAAAAAAATCATTAGAAAAAAAATCATTTTGTCCACTTTACCACACAGTAATCACTAGGGAACAGTATATATCTATATGTGTGTATATATACAGGTAGTCCAAAATGTAGTTCCATAATTGAGCCCAAAATTTATATGGCTAAGTGAGAAATTTGTTAAGTGAGTTTTGGCCCCTTTTTACATCTTTTTTTGCCACATTTGTTAAGTGAACCACTGCAATTGTTAAATTAGTAACATGGTTGTTAAGTGAATCTGGTTTTCCCATTGATTTGCTTGTCAGTAGGTTGCAAAAGGTGATCGCATGACCCCTGAACATTGCAACCATCATAAATGTGAGTCAGTTGTCAAGCATCCGAATGTAAATCATGTGACCATAGGGATGCTGCAATGGTCATAAGTAAAATGGTCATAAGTCACTTTTTTCAGTGTCGTAGTAACTTCAAAAGGTCATTAAGCAAACTTTTGTAAGTCAAGGACTAACTATAATATATACATATTCATATGATGTATATATCCTATTTTTAAAAAAAAATGAGTATCTGACATTACTAAGCAGGTGTCATGGTTCCGAAAGATGACACTCTTCAAAGAACTTTGAGGCATTGTTTACCTTAAAGAATCTTTAATCGAGCAGCATAGGTTCGGCAGGTACATAGTTGAAGCCAAAATCTGACTTCCACTCCCTTCAGCACATAGATCAAAGCACAATTCCCTCCTACAACTAACAGTCATAAATCACATTCTCCAATTAGTTTGAAATGCTGGCTTTCCACCCAGTTCTTATTCCGTCATGCTTTATCAGCTCTTATTTCAATATTGTATGTCTAACTAACTCCCATCACATTACTCCCCCTCCCCCAATATCATCTAATTCTAAGAGTACAGTATAAGAAAGAAAGAGGCTGCATCTTCATCTGTTGTCAAAGCAAGAACATCCAATTTTAGCAGCGTTGACAGCAGGTTTACTATAAGTAAATGAAACAAAGCAGGAATTATTGAACGATATTTTTCCAGATGTAATGACATTTTGGAAATATATTTATAATTACAAATTACAAATAATTTGGAAAAAAATGGTATGTAAATATTTAATTTAAATATTTAATATTATTTAAGTGTTAATTTAATGTACTTTTGAATATGATTAATCTTAATTTTCTTCTGCATTGAATTTCTTTTTAGATAAGATTGTATGCCGTAAATGCAGTGAAAATTGTAGGTCATGCACTGAATTTCATACATGCACAGAATGCAGACATGGTCTAAGGTAAGGAAATGTTTGACTTTAATTAACATGATAGTGAAAGAAGTTTCTAATTTTCCAGAAAAAAAATTATTTCACATTGTATTTAACTTTTAAGTGAAGTTATTTACAAATATTTTTGCAAATGCATGTATTATCCTGATTAATCATGGATTAATGTAGAACATAAAACCAAAGCACTGTATTCTCATTCTGCAATATGTCTAATATTTAAGAATTATCATACAGAAAAAATCAATAATTTGTTTTTGTAATTGTTTCTATAATTTATTTAAATCCACAGTTAAAATATATCTTTGTTGGTTTTTAATGGCCCAAAAGCTTCTGAGTTTTTCAGATTCATAATCAGGCTAAATGATACAAAATGGTTCGAAGATAAAATAGGAAAGATTTCTTTAAAAGGCTAAAATTTGTAATTATAGAGTTTGCAACTTATAATAGTATTCATTTTTCATAGATATTATAATCTGAATGAATTAACTATTGCTAGATGTTGTAAGCTGTCAGGTACCAGAAGCAATACTGAAACAACTTTTTTAAAAAATTGAAAAGACACATACAATTCCACTCCATCTGAAGAATTATGTTACTCCTTCAACCCTTTTCTGGTACATATATACTTGCTTGTACTGATAAAGAAAATAGACTGAAGTTCAATACATCAGTTATAAACACACCTTAATCAATGAGTCTTTAATAAATGACATAAATGGCACTCATTATAATTCATAAAAGTATTTTCTCTTCCTCTTAGATTTATTAGCTGAAATTACCTAAATCTCCTTATGTTTTTTGTAGTTTACAAGGAACAAGATGTGTTATACGCTGTGAAGCAGGCAAATATTATAATGGCAGAGACTGTGAGCCATGCCATCATACCTGTGCTTCTTGTGAAGGTATTTCTAATATTATTTTTGTTAATTAAATAATTTATGCCTACCTTGCAACAAAATAGAATAAGTACTAAGCTTTGTAGAAAGACACAATGCTATCATAAATATGAAATGCAGATTGTCATTAGGCCATGCTCAGATAGTACCCATTGATCACAGTATGAACAGCTTCCCTCTTTCTTTGCTGGATTAATAGAACTATTATCAACATTAACAAGAAAAACAAATCTGAAACAAACCAATAGTAGTTCTAGCAAATCAGTGAGACTATGAGGACGGATTAGCCACTATAATTGGTTGAGCTTGAATATCTTTTTAACATTCTTGTTTACATGGAACAATACCACTTTTCATCCCTCCAAATTAGTAATCACTCTACTAAATTATATAGGGAATATTTACTATCTATGATTTATTGAGGATACAGCACTTTTTTATCATTTTTGTTCTGTTGGCTTTTGAGGCCCAGGAGCAGATGCTTGCGTCAATTGTACAGAAGAATATTTTATGGAGAATGGAAGGTGTGTGGTAACTTGTGGCACTGGCTACTATTTGGATCACTCATCAGAAAATGGATATAAAACTTGCAAAAGGTAAATGGTTATTATGAGCTATGTTACATTTTAAATCAGATGCAAATTTTCCCCCATTTTATATGTGAACCATAAAGGTGACTCAGCAGTTAAGATACTGGGTTTGTCAGCTGGAAAGCCAGCAGCCCAGGTTTGACACTCAAGTACCATGCAACGGTGTGAGCTCCCGTCTCGCACCAGCTTCTGCCAACTAAGCAGTTAGAAAGCATGCAAATGCAAGTAGATAAATAGGTACCATTTTGGTGGGATGTTACAGCGCTCTGTAATGTCATGCTGGCCATATGACCATGGAAATGTCTTTGGACAGCGCTGGCTCAGTGGCTTTGAAATGGAGATGAGCACTGCCCCCTATAGTCAGCAACGACTAGCAGAGTAAAATCCGCAGGGGACTCCTATATGTGAACCATAACTAAGTAAGAAACAAACTGCCCTGCTGAAAAGGAATTCTTTTTTCTAAAAATAATTCCTATTACTCAACTTTTTAATTATCCAAACTTGTACCAAGCACTAATAACGATTTCCTAGTATACTGTATTAATGAAGCTTCTGGGTATCCAGAAACCTTTGAAATATTTCTAGGATATCTTTAAGGGCACAAATCCTCCCAAGCCAAGGTTAAGATGGTGGCAGAGAGTTAGGCATAATTTTTGTGAGGTGGGAAAATGTGATTGTGCTCTGTGGTGAAATTTTACAATGACCAACAGTCTTACCATATACAATTAGTCATTCACAGGTAAGAATTCTTCCCCATCAGTCTCATTTTTTTTTCATCCAGAAACCATGGGTTGAGAGTCAGGAGGCATCATGGAATTGGTTGTCTAGCTAAAAAGGGAAAAAAATGGAGTAATTTCTGTAAATGCCTTCTAGTCCCAAAACAGACATGTAAAAGGGAAATTGATTAACTGAAATTTCTGAGCAACCAGGTTATTTGACATGGCCACCAGATTATAGTTAACTTTGTGGAAATGCTGGAGGCATATACAGTTTTCTTTGTGTATGATGAGACTTCAAGATCTCAGAGGCATAAAACAAGAGCAAAAACAGGGTGGTTTATGTGATTCCAATTATCATCTTTGCTATGTTATTTTCTGTGTTAACATCCCCATTATAGAATCTTGTGTTAATTCAAATAAGAATTAAATCAAGCTGTATTTGATGATAAGACAAATAATCAACATGGATCCTAGGTATAACTTGCTGGATTTTTTTTTCATTAAGATGTGATGTCAGCTGCTTTGGGTGCAGTGGCCCAGGAGAAAGAAACTGTACAAGTTGTCCAAATGGCTACATCTTAGACACAGGTCTCTGTGTAGTTGGTCTTGTCTGTAAAGATGGTGAGTGCTTTTTTCCAAATATTTTTTTTTATTTTTTCCTCTGTTTAATATTGTTTGGATTTTAAAAAATAATCTCAGGAAAGCTTAACTCCTGTATTGTTTTTACTCCTAATAGGAAAATACAGGCTATCCTTCCACCTCATCATTCTCATCTTTTATCAATGAACTAAAAGAACTAGTCTATTTTCATATATTTGCTTAAAAGCTTCTGAAAAGAAATGGAATGTACAAACAGTATTAAGAGATCTAACATTGCATAAATGAAAGAATAAAAATAGATCTTTAAAAAAACTGCACAAAGAAGCCCCCCCAAAAAAGAGAATAAATCAGCTGCTGAAATTGTCCCCCAAATGTGAAATACTGGGACATTTTAATGTTGCAAATTCAAAATATAAAAAAATTGCAATAGTGGCAAATATCTGTGCATAGGTATAGGATGAGGGTGAAGGTTCGTTCTTCGAGCTTGTGGGTTGGTTTCCAAACGTTTCGTTACCAGGCTAGGTAACATCTTCAGCAGAGTTTAGGAGTAACGAAACGTTCAGAAACCAACGAACCTTCATGCTCATATAAAATAATTGTTATTTATTGTGGGAGATGCACTTCTGCTACAGTGTGTGAGTATATGTATCAACTCCCTGAAAAAAATTAGTATCCTCAACCAGAAACAATTGGGTTCCTTTCAAGCCTTTCACAGTATAGTGGATTCCTCATTCTCAAAGGTCAGCTATCTTAATCCTCCAGATGTGTTAGAAAGATTCAAGTATATGACTCAACAATATTTGGAGACTCCAACTTGTCCAGTGCTCCCCAACCTTTACGGCTTGGCGGCCTGACTGGGGTGGGGGGGAAAGGGGAACGGCCGTGCAAGTGATGGAAACATACGTGCATGCACACCTCCACTCGTGCAAGAAAGAAGAGAAGCCTTTGGGGCACATTTTTGCACTCCTTCAGGCTTCTCCACACCAAAAGACCTGAAGCAGTGCGAGATTGCTCCTCCGAAGCCTTTTGTCCGTTTGCAAGAGCTTTTGGCGCGGAGAAGAGAAGCCTTTGGGGGTGGGGTCTCCTGCTCCTTCAGACTCAACAAGGCTGCCTGACACTCCAAAAGCAGATTGGATGTCCTGCACAGGGAGCCTCGGTGACTCAGCAAAACTGAACAGGGCACACTCATCCCACTCAGCCTCTGTTCTCACCGCTCCACTTTTGGAGCATTGGAAGCAGGCGGCTTGGCAGCCCGGCTGGGGGAGGAGAGGGGAACTGGGCCACACAAGTGGTGAGCCGGTACACACATGCGTGTTCACAGCTCCACTCAAGAAGAGAGAAGAGAAGTGCAAGTAGAGCTGCGCTCGCACACCAGTCCGCCTCTCACATGGCCCGGTTCTGAATAGGCCACGGCCCGGTAGTAGGCCATGGCCCAGGGTTTGGGGACCCCTGAAGTGGACTAATTATGGGGTCAGGTATGACCAGTACATCTATGTACTGGAGAACATAGCAGAAAACAGAAGCAGGCTTGGGAATAAGTATTAGGATTTTTCTACGCAGATTTCACCAACTGTTTATGAAAAAATAATTTAACAAGGCAAAAGCCACATTGCTATTCCTAGAAAGTGATCATCATTGTAAATGATCTGTGTAAATGTTGTAACTTTTTTAAAATTTATTATCATTTTTCTTTCCAATCCAAAGGAATCTTTGAAGAAATTATATTGTCTATCTATCTGAAAATAGAAAAGAATGTGGCCAAATTTGGACTTGGGAGAGAAGTTGACTAAATAAATAAATGTTTGAAAATGTGCCAGATCTAGCCAAGGGGGAAAAACCCAGAAATTTTTTTTTTACCAACTTAAGTTTCTTGATTTTTTTTTTCCTTCCGGTTAGGTGATCAGAGCAAAATGGCTGTTAAGAAAATGGGCAAAAATTTTTTACAAGCCATGGCCTCTGTGTTTTCTCTCTCTTATAAAGATAGGCTGAGATAGTGGAACAAGCAATAACCTCTAGTTGTTTTCATTAGTATCCAGAGTGAGTCAGCTGCAATAAAGATACACAGTGGTGTAGCAGACCATAGTGCATCTTGTTAAATCCTTTTGTTGAATGGAAAGAAATTCATACAGGCTAATCAGCAAACAGTGCAAGTTTACTAAAAGAATTTTAGTTTTGCGTTGTTCAAATACCTGCAAGCACCTCGGGGTAAGCATCAAGTAGATTAAAGAAACACTACGTTCATGCTAAACAGTACAACATCTCAGCTTGTTTTAATGATGTGCAAATTTTTGCATTGACCCTTTCATTTCAGATAAGTTTGTCTCTCATCTGCAGTTACAACTGCTCCTATGCTCAGTTTTTCATATTACCTACCATTGTATGCGACCGGCTTTTCTCCTTGCTCCTTTCATTGTAGCTGAATAATTTTTGACAACTTACTGATCAACTGTGTGATCTGTTGTGTTTTTTTAACCTCTGTTCCTGTTCTGATTGTTTTATATCCTGTCCAGGTACTCTCTTCATGATTTGTATCCAACAATTTCCTCCAAACTGAAATACTCTATTCTAAGATGTCTAACTCATATTCTGGCTATTGCTTCTCATGACATTCTCAGAATAATTTTAAGCTATATTTGGGGGTGAAGAGAGGAGTTTCCTGATACTTAAGGGAACCTATGACTTGGAAATCAAATTATTTAAATCCCAGTAAACCCTAAATTGAAACCCTTTAGAAGACCTCAAATGCCCAAACACAATTTATCCATAAACTTTAAGTTTCTATACATGGATAAAATCCCTTTTTCCGTTTATGAAACTAATATGCATAAAATACATGAAATATGCTTCTATAAAAGACATTTGGATTTAATGGATATCTACTTTCATTTCCCACTGGTCTGTTAAATCAAGGGTTTACTGTACAACTACAAGATTTTTTTTATGATCACAGTAAAATATGCAGAACTCTGAATTTACAGAGAATTAATGTATGCATTGTGCTAGGCCCCTGCTTGTGATCCCTTTTAGTTTAGTTTTTAGTTAAGTAGCATTTAAAATGTTGCAAGATTCTAAACAACATAGTGCTTTCAATCTCAATGACAATATACGTAAATGCTATCAAGAGCATCTTTATGTTCAATGAGCTTCACAGCATTTGCCACTAACAATGAATTTCAGAAAACAAAACTTCAGTGAGCAATATTTTTCATGAACACAGTAGTTTCAAGAGTGATTTTATTTTTTTTCCATTCTCATTATTTCATAGTTCTCTTTAAAAAAAAAAAGCATGTATAAAATAACATGCTTTTACACACAGTAAAATTGCTAAACCAACAAGTATTGCAATATCCCTTTAACTGACTGACTGGAAAAAGTGCTTAGCAGCTTGGATTGTGATAAACAGGACAGCAGATTTATCTAAATGTGGGATTGGACGTAAAATCAGATTGAAAACTCCTGTTCTTCACAACGACAGGATAATATTCAGTTTGCCCTTTGAATCATCCCAACTGCAGCCTCCAATCGCTCTATAATAGAACTGGGGGTGGGCTCAGGGGTTAAAAGGAGCTGCTAGGCTAGAAAAAAATCTATTTCCACTGGCAAATGCTCTTCCATTGGCAACTACTTATCTCTGGATTTTCCCCGAAGTGAATGATCAAACAGTACTGTCCACCCAACTTATTTATTACCTTTTCTCTTAAATTGTAGGAAAATTATGCATTACACCCTGAATCAGACTTAAGATTTTTCTCCATAAAGTAACAAGTGAATAAGTTAAAAAGAAATGGTTGAGATGCACATAATAAATCATGCTTTGCAATTGCACAAGTGAGCAAGAGAATCTTCACTTTAAGCATTTTGGGGAGCACAAACAAAAAAAATCACAATACTATTCTATTAAATTCGGTATGATTTAAATTCATGTATATATTCTTGTGTGTTTCTGTTTAATATTCTTTTTTTAATTCATAATACTCAATAAGGTATTTCCGACTGCATTTTTCACTGTTTTCTAATCCTTCTTTTTCTGATCTCTTTTTTTCTTCTTACATAAATGGATACAAATCACTCCTTGCTACAACACAATGTATTTTCCTGAACGCTGTTGTGACTGAAATTCCTTTTGATGGAAACCCAATTTTCTATTTGCTACCTGCTCCTGATCGATCTCTTCTATCAAATTTGCCTGTCTGACCAATTAAATCTCCCTCTACTTGACACCATGCTGTTCAAAACTCAACCTCCTTCCACTCTCTATGACCTCCCGAAGCAACGGAAGAATCTTGGGCAGAAGGTGGCTTCTGTATGCTAGTGAAAAAGAATAATCTTTGCCAGCGGAAAGTACTTCAGCAACTTTGCTGCAGAACATGTACACTAAAAGGCTGATTTGGCTTCTCTCCAGGCATTCTTGTTCCTGTAGACTTATAGATTAATCCATATTATTAAAAATGGGGAAACTCTCCCAAACCACCTTTTTTTCCCCTCTTTCTCTTTCTCCCCTTTGGGGAGGCAGTGAACTGTATATTGGAACTTCAAATACAAAACTACAACGAGCCTACCTTTCATTACTGGGTGTTCAGAAAAAAAAAACATCTGGGATCACAGTGTCAGTAGGGTGTGACCAAAGCATTTGATGCCAAATTAAAGTCATTCGACTTCCTATCAATTTAAGGACATGCCTGGATATATATTTTTTTTGACAAAAATCTGCTTTCCTTTTTTTTTCTGCTTGTTTCCCATGAAGATGTGTAGAGTGCGCCAACAATACAGCACAAGTTTACAATGGATTAAAACAAAACAAAAAATATACTTGCATTAGTCTTTTTTTTTTCCTAATGTAATAAGAATGAGATGAACTCTAATAAGACACTCTGAAAAGAAATAACATCTTTTGTTGCAAACTCATGCTTTGCTTGCATTATAGTGGTGTCTGCATTTTTTTTTTTAGTCAGATCGTATGTTGGGTAGCGTTTGCTTGGATTCATTTTTTCACAGTTAAATTCTCCAACAACTTTTCAGAATTCTGGCCAGATCAACCAGTATGTTTTGAAAGATATGTTTCTAAGTTTTAGGGTGTTATTCTGGTATGAATAAACTCTGAAAGATGCAAGTTACCCCCCCCCCTTTTAAGTATAGTTTGTATGCTTGAATCCACCAATATCCATAAGCTAGACTGTGCACTTGTAAAACTTTGATACCAATATATTTATTTGGCTATGGGCCATGACTTCAGATCAGGCAAGTTAAATATAAAAATTAAATGAAATAATTTTAATAAATAATATCTAATTTAAGTGAACCAAATAGTCTATCAGGAATCAAAAAACAGTAAGTAGCGATCAAATATCAGTCCATATAATATATATCGAGAAATATGAGTAGACCAAATTAATGAGTAGACCAATCTCAAAACTATTTTCAGCAAAAATATATATCAGTTTTTAAAAAAGAACTTTCCAAAAATCTGTTGATATTTCTCTTTACATATTTACTTTTATGTACATTTATGTTTATCATTTATATTCCTTTAGCTAACATCAGATCCTTCCATTGATACTTTCTGAAACTCAATTTTTTCCTACCAAATATTTCATACATTTATTAAACTGTGATGCATACATGGATATGCCAAATATTCCACCAAATAGTATCATGTTTAGTAAAATAAGGTCTATAAACAGAGCTTGTGGGATTTTTTTGCATAAAAGTGAATAAAATGAGCACATCCATTATCACATATCCATGTATGGATTTCAATATCCCTTCAGAAAGTAAGTATAAATAAACTCATGTGTGGGTTATGTTATATGTAGTATGCGCGATACATTCATAATATATTGCTTTCTGAATAGAGTAATTCTCTGGATTTCAGCAATTCTGAAAAATGAATAGATATGATATTCAGATTACAATGGTACTATTATAAACATTTGTGTGATTGATACCTTTAACTGGAATTAATATACTAAACCAAATTTTACTCTTAATGTGCATGCATTATCAGTATTCTATCAAGAGTGAAATAATTTGTTATTATTGTGCAATAATAGAAAACTTAAAGTACTAAGCCTAAAGCTTTTTTGCTACCATATAATATGTAGAGAAAATCCCAAAAATAAGTTTCAAATTTCATAGTATATTTTCTATATTATATTTTAACACTAAAAATAGTATTAAAATATAATTTGTGCATTCTTTTAATTAATATTCAAAACATTCACGTATCAGAAAATTTAAGATAATTCTGCAATTTTTTATTGTTTTCACTGTATATAGCACAGATCTAAATGAAATAAAAATTATTTATCCTGAAAAAATAGGGCTTTCTGAACATTACAAATTATATAGAAATGAACCTCTTTTCTATATAAATAAATATGCACAAAAATCATCTAGCTCATCACCAAATTATTTAGAAAATAAATTTCTTTTAAGGTTAAAATGAATAATTATCACCTTGGAAACTCATTTCATTTAAAATCCTCAGTATTTATTATTCTAACTTGAAACATTTAACAGACCAGCAAAAAGATAAATGTGTTTTGATACTACCATTCATAGTCTCAAGAGTATTTTTTAGGATTTGTACAAAAGCCAGCCAGCTATCTTTTTTTTAATTTATATTCTAGAAAAAGGTAGATGTAGGAAAAATTCTAGTGTGCATAACATAGTTACAAAGTACAGAATCCTATGCTATTTTAACAAAATTTCACATGGAGAAAAAAAACTTTTCTCAAATATACTGAAGACCAACACAACCTGAGAGAGGAATTTGTCTAAAGTAAATTCTAGACAATATTTTAAAACAAATTTTTACCATCTCTCTTATTCTAAAACTTAAACTAAGATCTTAAAGAGATGGACTCAATAAGGAGAAAAAAAGAGAAGTTCAAAGAAATTAGCTGGAGTGAAAAACAGAATCCATGAGAAGATAAAGCTCCTGCATAGTAATATCCTGTAGCTGAGGTGGAATATTTTTGACTTGGAAATGGTTGGTAAAAATGGGGAAAAGTCAGGTATGCTTCCCTGGTCTAGTTGCATATGAATTTCTTAGAAATTAATAGCATTTCAATTAATCACACACTGTCTATTCTTTTTCAAAAGTAATTAAATTTGATGTAACTTTATGTAAGTTGGGCGGTGGCTTATATTCTGAGAAGAGATAGTAAGTGTGATATGGTTAGTGCCACGCATGCCCAATTTGCAAAAATTCTCATAACTATCTATTCTGGTTGTATTATTACTGTCTGGACTGCCTTATTTTTACATGACAAAAGAACTAGAAAATAATGCTTCCACAATTTAAGTTAATGGTATAAATCGATTGTGTCAAACTCACCACAAGGGTGTCAAACTCACCACATCACGTGATGTGTCGCGATGTATCGCTACTTTTTTCCCTTGCAGGAGCTGGGGTGGGCGCAGCTTCCATGTGATGCATCCAGCTCGCGGGCCGGCAGTTTGACACCCCTGGTATAGATATATTATATAAGTAAATATTACACAACACATACATGCAAACAAATCCGTGTGTGTGTGTGTGACTTGTGTGTCTCCAAACTGTGATATAATATATTGAGTTGTAAAGATTTTATTTGGATACGTTAAAATGCTTTTAACTCTAATATAGAGGAGAATTTAATTTTTTTAAAATATTGACATTGTTAAATCCAGATACATTTTACTGAAAAATACTGTACATCTGTAAAATGTTCAGCTGTCATTTGTAAAAACAGGTAGTATTGTAATTGTTATTGGCCAAAATCAATGCTATTCTACATTTTATTTTTTCTATTAAATTAACCTTTTCTTCATCAGCCTAGTAAAGCACATTTATGACATAAATGTCATAAACATACAACATATATATATATATACATATTATTTTGCTTAGATGTTATTTTTTCAGGGTTTTCCCCCTTTCCTAATTTTTTTAAACAAATAATATGGTACTGAAAGAATGTTTTATATTAAACTATTGGTCTTGGGGATAGAAGAATATTCAGATCTCTTATTTATCTCCAAAGTAACAGGGACACCGACAGTTACAAATGATTTTATAATATTTTGTAAAGGACATAGAATCAGTTTTGAGAAAGCTATGGTCATTCATCAAATTTGCAACTTAGTGAAAAGCTGTAGTCTTTGTCACCTTATTTTGACTTTCTGTCCAGCCTTGTTCCCTTCCAGTGGGAGAACAAAAGTTATCCATGGAGTGTCCAGTACTTCATACAAAGGATCAACTCATGAACATACAAAAGTATGGTTCTCCAAAGATGTGTCATAATGTTTATGCCATAGTAGGATTTAAATAATTATGGGATAACCTGAGTGAGGGCCAGATGTTAATAAGCTTAAAAACTCTGTGTTATTCTAATATACACAGAAATTAATTGCATGTATGAATTGACCTCAAAGCTCTGCTTCAAATTGGTGAAATTCTTTTAGCATTAAATAAGCAATGAAAGTTTATATCAAATGCTTATAGTTTATATCCTCTTTTTAATTCACCATGACAATGAATAAAGCCTGTGCTCCATGATTGTTAGTGAAGCAGCCCTACCAGCTTCACAGCATCACTTTATATACTGCAGCCTCACAAGCCACCAGCTAAATAAATGTTACCTGCCCAATGCAGACATGTTCTCCTTAAATCTATGTTGCTCAGAGTAAAGCTCCAGCTGAGAGATTGTAAAGATGGCAACATCATGAATCAGAAACAGTAGATCTGAGTGGTTTAGCTACTATTTTAACAAAAAAAAGTTGACAGAGATATAATGAGAGTATTTTTTCTAGGTTCAGCATGGAATGAACAAATACATCTGGTATCATTAAAAAAAATAGTCTCACATTTCTGTAAAGGCTGGTGACTAAACATCAGCAGGGCATGATAATTTGAACTACTAATGAGTATATCTGTCCTCTGAGCAATTCCATGAAAGTCTGACCTGGCATTCTGATTGTGTCTTTTTACTCTGCTGAAACATTGAATCCTCTTCCTGATTTCCTTCATTTTATAGAGCCTTAATTAATTGTAATTATTAAGTAAGTTTATGTCCCAAAGCAGGTAAGGGACAAAGGCAGAGAGAAAAAGACAGCTCCAAATTATATTGCAAAATTATGAAAATATATTTTCAAAAAATATAGGCATACTTTACAATCTCTCAGCTAGAGCTTTATTCTGAGCAACATAGATTTAAGGAGGACCTGCCTCCATTGGGCAGGTAACATTTTAATATTTATAGATTTGATGTAGGTGGGCAATTACTTTTTTTGAATATGAAACGAGAATTGAGTCAGAAAAAGAATGAACCTTGTCTTTGCAGTGACTTCTGTCTCCTTCTCTCTTCTTTTTTGAGATATTCTGGAATTTTGAGTTGCTTTTACTGCTACAGTAAAAGTGAGTGTATTTGTCAGTAACATTGATTCTATCAGAAGATAATTTAGTGAAAGCACATTTTCATAATGGAAGACCAAAGAATGGTCTAGCACAGTGGTGGCGAACTTATGGCAGGGGTGCCAGAGGCGGCACTCGGAGCCCTCTCTGTGGGCACATGTGCCGTTGCCCCAGCCTTGCCTCCGCCCATGACCGCCTCTCCAGCAGCCCCCCTGAAGGAGCGTCACCCTTGAGCGTGGCCCACACGGAGCAGCACAACCAAGGACATGGCAGCCAGGCAGCGTAGACAAGATTCTGCCCTCACACCCCATCATGCAGTTGATACTGCAGGGCGCGGGCAGAGGGTGTGGCTGCCAAAGCACTGCTGGGCTGCCTGGGCGATCTGTGGCGG